GATACTGTGTACTGGCAATAAGAAGACACAAGATTTAACGATACTGCGTACTGTCAATAAGAAGACACAAGATTTAACGATACTGTGTACTTTCAATAAGAAGAGACAATATTCGACGATAATGTGTACTGTCAGTAAGAAAACAGAAGATTTAACAACAATGTGTACTGTCAATAAGAAGACAAAAAATCTTCTTGTTGACAGTACACAGTATCGTTAAATCTTGTGTCTTCTTATTGACAGTACACAGTATCGTTAAACACAAGATTTATCGATACTGTGTACTGTCAATAAGAAGTCGTTAAATCTTGTGTTACTGTGTACTGTCAATAAGAAGAAACAATATTCAAAGATAATGTGCACTGTCAGTAAGAAGAGACAATATTCGACGATAATGTGTACTGTCAATAAGTAGACACAAGATTTTAACGATACTGTGTACTGTCAATAAGCCGTGTGGCTTCAGAGGCTAAAGTCATTACACTCTGTCACAAAATAAAGTCAAAAAATGGGATATCCTGAGTGCAAAGCCCAGAGATGTGAATATTAAATTCAGATGTGAACTTGATGTTGGGAATTAAGATAAGAAGAAATTTGGAAATGTGACTTCATTGTGAAATAGCAAAGTGTTATCAATATAACATTTGTACAGGACAGGATTAAAGTCACATGGGCAGTTTTCTAGCCACTTGCATTCGTGCTAGCATAAAAAACTTGAAATGGTGTATTTTAGTGTTTTACACTCACAAAAAAAGAAACTTATCATTCTATAGGTATTTGAAGAACTTGTAGCATTCCGCCACAATTTAATTCTTCGTATTGTTAGCTGACACTGGGCAGCTGGTACATAATTGAATAGAGTTGTTTAAATATTTGTTTAACAACAAGTAAAAACTATTGGTGGGGATTCCATCTATCTGATCATAAATGACATCAATAAAGAGGAAATGATTTAACTAGTTGGTTATAATGCTCTCCACGTATATTGCTCTTGAGTACACATGGCTCCAGATGGTAGCGTTATAATAAGGCAGTACTGTACGTTGCAATTCCTTCATCATATGAGTTCAGATCCAGAGATGGTGTTACAAATCAAACTGACTTCAGCCTCATTAAAAACATTACTTGTCTTCCATGAATAAAATTTTTAAGAGTTATAAAAAATGAAAAAATAACTGCACGTGTTTTGTAATCAGAAGTTTTTGTATAACTACTTTTCCCCTATCCTTCTGTAAGAGTTTGACTACAGTACATTGACAAAAATCCAGTAACATTTGTTGTATAACCATGTCGCTTGAAAACACATAACTTATGACACAGATGTATATTGAGGGATGATGTTTCAGCTTCTGTATGGATGCTCAGGTATAGAAGCCGAAACTTCGTCCCTTTATCTTTCAACAGGCAGTTGCAGTCCATTAAACTTCTCAAACCTACCATGTCCACTCTGCCTAAAGTTCCACTACAACATAAACAACAAATATGTATTAGATTTTAACACAATCATTCATCAGTCATAGTATGTTCACACACAGCACATGGAAAAGATACACACATGCATTGTCAAATGTCAAGAAAAGATTAACGTGTTTCATGTTTTATCTGATTAAAGTCTTACAGTCAGGATCATTTACTTCTCCTTATTATGTTTAAGCCAGTTTTAAACACTATATGTTTACTAAAGTAAGTATGAACAATAATTCGTATGTCAGTGGCAGGATAAAATCAACCTGGAATGAACAAGTTGGAACAATGTTTTGGAACTTTGGGATTCATTAATATTCATTTTATTCTTGAAAATTTTTCTTTCTATTCAGTTATTAAATCTAACCAATTCAAGCAGGATATCACATTTACTGATTAAATACAATAGTTTCATATTTCTGTAATTATTACGATGTATGTACATAGTAATTTTATAAATGTGTTAATTCTACAGTTTGTGTTTTTTACCAGTTCCTACAAATGTATATCTTAATTTTTGTCTGTTTACACAATATTGTTAACTGTACAGTTTTTTGTTTCTCTAGTAATTCTTACAAGTATTCATAAAGGTTTCTGTCTTTCCAAACATTGTTTATCATTATTTATCAACCTAAACAAATATAGAGTTGCTGTTAGTAATATAGTTATTTCTGTTGATATAATTAGGACAGGACTTAAATGAAGCAGAAAAAGAAGGAGTATTAGTATCACCTTGGTATGTAAACATGTATTCTGAATAATAGTTAGTAAAAGTTGCACACCATGAGTGTCAGTAAGTATATATCTTGTATACCCATGATATCAGTAAACATGTCTTTTCTCACCTGAGTAGTAGTAAGCAAATATCTTGTATAACCTGAATATCAGCAAATACATATCTTGTACAGTTTAGTGTTGGTAAGTAAATGTCTTATATAACCTGTATATCAGCAAGTAAATATCTTATACAACCTAAATATCAGTAAGTTAATGTCTCATATAATCTCAGTATCAGTTGTTAACACTGTGGTAAGCGAGTATCTCATACCCCTAGTGTATGAATAGATGACACTGTGGTAAGTGAGTATCTCATACCCCTAGTGTATGAATAGATGACACTGGCAAGCCAGTATCTCATACCCCTAGTATATGAATAGATGACACTGTGGTAAGTGAGTATCTCATACCCCTAGTGTATGAATAGATGACACTGGCAAGCCAGTATCTCATACCCCTAGTATATGAATAGATGACACTGTGGTAAGTGAATATCTTGTACACCCTGAGTGTCAGTTGTTAACAGTGCAGTAAGTGAATATCTTGTAAACTCTTAGTATAGGTGAGTAACAGTGTGACAGCTGAATATCTTGTACACCCTGAGTGTCAGTTGTTAACAGTGCAGTAAGTGAATATCTTGTAAACTCTAAGTATAGGTGAGTAACACCATGATATATTTCAGGAGTGTATACTTAATCTGTGCACAACAAACAGCTATTACCTCATACCACTGCTCTGACAGTTCTGTATATATGTGTCGATGTCACATAAACTGGATGTTCAATATGAATTAGCCTTGACAACTAGCCAATCATAACCTAGAGTTGTTGGTGTCAGGTTTAGTTTGTACCAAAGAGGTGTGTACAGTACATAAAAGACTTAAGTATGATAATAGTTATAGGAAACGTTAACCAATTTTTATAAAGATAAAATTAAAAATAAAATAACAGCAATAGGTGGTGTAAAATAGAGAAAATGATAATATGATGCAATATATATGAAATAATACCGATATAGAGAAATTAAAGCATGAGTAATAAGTAATTATGAAGATCAACAATCCCAGGATTGAGATTGATACCATCTGATGTTACAGTTGTGACAATTTGTTCTCTGATTAATCCTTTAAATTTGTTTTTTCCATCTTGAAGATTTTGTAACTGACATAAAAAATCTCAAGTACAACCCCTTTCCTGGTTAGTAGTATGTACGATCAAGTGAGTCTAATTATTACTTAAATTATGATTTTTCTCAGTACTGACTTACAATGAGATCCTGAGTAAATTATATAAAGAAACGTAGGAACTTGTGTGATGAATATGAAAACTAAATATATTATTAGTTATTGCTTAATTAAAAAATATGGCTTAAAAATGAGCTAGTTTCTTCATTACAAAAACAAATTGGAAAATCATTTTAATAAGAGTTTTAAAATGAAGAAAAAAGTGAAAGACATTGATTATTTATATTTCTCTTAAAGTTATGTAAAATATAAATAAGTGTTTTGAATAAATATATTTTTGAGCAATACTTGTATTTCAAAATCAGGCCCTTCTGTTGGGATGAAGTCATAGAAAACAACCAAACTGTAGCTCAGCAGAATCTTTCAACTACATTGAAAAGCCAACCTAGTAAATGTAAGATCAATTTTTCAGTGATCATTTTGCTTTCAAAATACTAGTCTATTTAAGTGGTAAAAGTGAAGATAATAATTAAAAAAGAAATTTGTTCCAGCATCTTTATTTTAGTTTGAAAGTAAAAGAAATTGTTTTTGGCTGAAAAATATTAATTAATTAACTGTTTTGAAACAGTTTTATTTTTACTTTATAATCAGCTGCAAATGATTTAGTAACACTGATAATTATAGTAATCTTAACCCTACCCCTAATATTAGCCTAGTCTTAAGGACACTTCTGGTAAGTTGAAGTGATTTATGGGATTTGGAACATACTAACATGTAACATTTACCATGGTTTACCTGGACATTTTGATATCTTAAGCCTAGAAAGTGATTTAGTAACATTGATAATTACAGTAATCTTAACCCTACTACTAATATTAGCTTAGTATTAAGGGCATTTTGGTAATTTGAACTAACTTCTGGGATTTGATACATACAAGCAACACATACCAAAGTTTTACCTTAACATATTGATATCTTAAGCCTAGAAAATAATTTATATTTTGAAATTGGTGTGGTTGTGTTTATAATTAGTTTGAAATTTTGTTTTATAGTATTGTGTGTTAAATTATATGTTGATAAGAAAATATATTTTACAGTAACTTACATTTTAAAACAAATAAGTTACTTTTGCAGCTTTGTTAACCTGTGTAAACATGTTTTCTAAGCTGTTGACTTGAATATGAATTTAATACAAGGAATTATCAGTTTGTTGTAATAATGAAACTAAGTTCCCTATTTTAGTTCAAGTTTCAAAACTTTTTATTGCCCTCGTTTGACATTTCACGTCTTTCGGAGATGTTTGCTTTATTCTTACAGATTCATATTGAATGTCGTTGTTTTCATGGATAGTGTATCATAATGTGAGAGACTTGGTTACCATTCTTGTTTTTATTACATGCCACCTTTCAGGCAACCTAACTTTGGTCCAGAGACTTGTGTTTGATTTTGAAGCTACAAAATTTTTCTTCAACTATTCAAAGTATAAAAGTGGAGAAAGGTAAGTTTTTGAAGTCTATAAAAGCAGTTAGTTTGTTCATAATAATTACTATTATTAAAATTTTCATTAAAACATGAATTCAAAAACATGGGTAGAGCTAACCCAAAATAGAGATGATTACTTGCATTATGGGTAAACTAATGGAAAGCAACAAATACAATTAACACACAAACTTCACTGCTATAGGCTTTTCTCAAGAAAGAGTACTTAAGAAATGGAGAAAGAAGCTTTCATTTAGATATAAAGACACTGCTCTGCAAATATGACTTAACTCATTAACCAGCACAGCTTTAACTGATTAGAGAAATGATATTTCCAAGCGTAGCATCTCCTTACATTTCTTCACACCTTACTGCTTCAGATGTATCATCTCCTTACATTCATTCACACCTTACTGCTTCAGATGTATCATCTCCTTACATTTCTTCACACCTTACTGCTTCATATGTATCATCTTACGTTTCTTCACACCTTACTGCTTCAGATGTATCATCTCCTTACATTTCTTCACACCTTACTGCTTCAGATGTATCATCTTACGTTTCTTCACACCTTACTGCTTCAGATGTAGCATCTCCTTACATTCCTTAAATATGTCAGATGTTGAATTTAGTTCATGCTGCAGATTACTGCTACTATATATTTTAAATGTTGTCTTGTAAATGCATGCTAACATGCCAATTTTTGTTGAGTTGAGTGGGCTGAGTCCTAGTTTATATAGTTGTTATTATTTCCAGATTTGTTGAGGATTTTTATGTGTGAAAACTGTTGGAGTTTCTTTCAGTTGTTATGTTCATGTAATTTAAAACCTGGTTTTCATTCTCTTTTTCATGAGTGAATTTTATATTAAAGTGAACATTTTTTATGTGCTGTAGAAATTATTGTTGTGTTCAAATCCACAAAATACATTGTCAACGTATCTAAACCAGGTTGAAGAGCTGTATTAATGACCTGACTTTCTATTTTGTTGATAAAAAACTCACATAACCCATACTTAGGGCATCTATTTGTTCATAAGTTATATCTTGAATAAATACCAGGTGACAGAGGTCTGCCCATACTTAGGGCATCTATTTGTTCATAAGTTATATCTTGAATAAATGAAGCTTTTGTGAAATGTACAATTGTCTTTGTTGTTGTTTTTCTTCAACTCTGTATAGATTACACATTATTAACAATACTCACTACTGCTACGAAAGTAATAACTCCTTATCATATTCATCTTAATGCTGTATAGATTACACTCTTACTAACAGTATTCACTAATGTTACAAAAGTTGCAACTATTCTAAATATCATATAAAGTAAACTGTAATGAATGAGACTTCGCTAATCATACAAATTTTCAGGAATATTTTAAAACAAATATGTTTTCAATTCTCATGTTTAATAATTACAATTTAAATGTGGATATAAACAGTTTATTGTACATGATGATTGTTTTTAACACTTGCTCTGGGGGCATCTTTTTCTGTGCATGAGTCACATTTGAAATGTAATTAAGGTACCTTTTTATGATAACATATGAATATATTTGGCATAAAAACATAGCTAATAACCCAAGTTTAATAGCTTATAAGTATTAAGTTCTTAATTTTATATGGCAATATATAAAAAAATCCTGAATTTCCCCTAGTGTGAGAATTATGACACTTTCTTTCTATGCATCCCCTCTTTAATTTATACCGTTCCACCAAAAAGTACTAAGTTTAATATAAATTACTTATTATAATGTTGTTCAGGCAAAGCATAATTGTTATAGCCTTCAATCTTGGTTAAAGAGCCATCACATAGAAAATCAGACCCTTTTTGCCATGCCCATTTGTCACATCCTTTTTTCAGAAATTTTCAATAGTTCTCTCTGACATTTATTAACATATTATATATTACCAACAGAAAGCCAAGGTTTTAATATAACAAATGATGTATTATATTATGTTGTTTTCTGTACAGAGAATTTTCGATCATGCTGTCAGTTCAAATTTTATTCCCACGGGAAATACATCAACAAGCATAGCTGAATGTTTAATGGCTCTTGCCACATAGTTCGAAAGCCAGAAAAATTGTGATAGTTATGGGATATTATCTGCTTTAGTTTATTGAAAGTCTGCCAGATTTTGTGAAGATACACATACTGTATTAAATATAATAGTATGGAAATTATAATGAGTACAAACTGGTTACAAAGTCGGTACATTTGACCAACCCTATGGTGAGAGAGTTAAGTCATGTTTTAAGCACCATGCTGAAACCTCCTTTGATTGAGCATTAAGCCTAAAATATTTTCTAAAATGAGAAAAAACAGAAGAACTTTATAGAAAACAGTGTTTTACCAATTATCCATATGTTCCTAATTTTCAGAGATAATTCGTTTTTTGTCTGTATCTCATGTAAATTATCTGAAATCATGCTTGTTGTGTCTAATATAATTTATCTAAGATCATACTTGTTGTGTCTGATGTAACTTCTCTGAGGTTGTATCTGTTTGTCTGATGTAACTTATCTCAGATTGTATCTGTTGTAACTTATCTGAGGTCATACATGTTTTTTTTCTGATGTTACTGTACTTCCACCTCTTGCTGACCAAAATGATTGGTCACTACTACAAAATCATTCCGACAAAATGCAGGTGAAATGTTTAAAAATTATTTACCAAACTGATATTGAAATTTAATATTATGTATATAGTGAAACATTCTTAAAAGTTACAATTCTTAAACTTATTTAAAATAACAATGTAGTAAATATTCATTACATATATCTTATTCAGACAAATGTCTTACATTATCTTTAAACGTGGCTCTACTACTACTAACAACATTAGTAAAAGAAGAAGCAGAAGAAAAAATATGAATCTATTTTAAGGTTATTTACTGCAAAGTTAGCCAAAAATTAACCTAAACTGTCAGTGACTACAATGAAAAACTGTAGGATATAACTCGCATGGTCTGACTAGGATGTCAGTTATATCAGGTATACCAACAGACTTGTTATTTTACTTAGTTACATATTTCTCGGCTAACTGGATTGCAATACCCTTACAGATTATTATTTCATTCTAACCCTCAAAATATTTCTTATGAGAGCTGAAATATTTATCTAGATATGTACATACTAAAAATAATTTTCATCATCACTGTATCAACTGCTTTCAAACCATTTCAAGGTCAGTATGACTATTAAATGAACTAACATGTAACTTAAGAGTCATCTACTTGAAATCAGGCCTCAGCTTTACTGAAAAATTATGTCCGTTAACTCAACCACTAAAGTTTTTAGGTGCTTTTTTAGATTACTGTTCTAACTGAATTAAGAAATGAAAAGTAATTAATTGTGTGTGTCTGTCTATATGTAACAAAGAAATTACTATGAGTGACTTGATTGTAATAACAGACTGAATATGTTAATTGACAACAATTTTACTTTTGTAGGGAAAATGTCTATGCATCATTTGTAATGACAGAAGGTGGTTTGACCAGGGTCTTTCCACCAGAGTAAGTCTAATTTTTCTCTCCTAGATATCTAGATTAATAGCCTAAAACCAATATAATTGCTGTATACACTGTTCTATTGGGTTTATATATATAGTAAGTTTTCTCTTTCAATTTATGGGAATTTTTTACATTTTATTTTGTTGTTTTTTGCAAACACAATATTTTGTACAAACAAAAGTTTCCAAAGAGAACATCTAATGTAAAATTTATTGTAATATTTGTGATGGCTAAACCTGTTGTAGTGTCAATGAAGAAATTCTGTAATATATAATGCTTTCATGTTTGTGGCTAGACACAAAACCCTGCGAATACATCATTATATTCCCTTGAATAATGTAAAAAGATTTGTAAAGAATTTGCTACATTTGGCTTTAAATGTTTTTGTTATACATGTTAAAAAACAGCAGAATGTGAATGTCATTAAAAAAATAGATACATCTTCCAAAAGGAGATATAATTAAATACTAAACATGAGTATTGAACTGTGGTAGTAACATCTTTACCACTAAATGAACTATTCACATGAATCTGATGTTTCAAAACAAATAAAAAACACTTGTGGAAAAATAGGTAAAGAAGTACATTCTTTGGCCCAGTTGAGCCTTCCTCATCTTGCTGGGAGGAGGGATTTCTTTCTTGGCCATTTTGATGGGAGACCAGCTGAACATAGGTGAGACTGGGTGAGAGTTTCCTGCCACGTTCTTTTGAGCTCTGTGGACAACAGTCAACGTTTCTACAGGTTCATGTATTTCAGAAAATGATCATCAGCTGCTTTGGAGACTTTCCTACCTCTTCCATTTCACTGGTCCACACAACCAGTCTCTCAATTTTTTTGCAACTAATGGCTCATGGTAGACTGGTTAAATTTAATTTTTCTAGCATTCTTCCTTCTCTAAAGTCCCTCTTTAATCAAAGGAACAATGACTGCTTTTTTCTGTGGATTCAACTCGCAACCCTCAGTCATGGCATCACATTCATGTTGTAGTAGGTAGGCTTTTATAATGGCTCTCAGTAAGAGCTTCTATTTATAGATGCAATATCTTGACAGCCTATAAAGCTGCTGATGTAATAATTAGATAGTATTGCATCATCCATGAAACACTTGCACCCACATACGTTAGGTGTACAAAACAAACAATTTCATAGAAGAGTGTGAAAAAAATTGGGTGGTACAATAAATTTTTCCAACACTGTATGTTTAGGTTATCAGCTGAGAATTATGAACCCCACAAGTAGCAAAGAGTAAACCATTTTAGCTGTAAACTCCACATGTGGCAAGAAGTAAACCACTTCATAACAAAATAATGTAAAACAGAAAGTTGCATATCAAAGAAACTCTTACTCAACATTTGAAACCAGAAAACAACTATCAGCAACTTATAAAACCTTATTTGTTTCTTGATTTTTATTTTTCACCAGGAAATCATATTTATTAGATGGACTGACAGACCCTTTCACTTCATTTTTGTACAAGAGAGCTATTTATTCAACATCCTCTGTGTTTATTGTACCTGAAAATAAAGGTCAGTGTGATTAAAATTCAAAATGTTAGCAGACAAAGTAATAAAGAATATTGTGTGGAAATAATAAACTAATATGTTAGTGCATTGTTATCGTTCCCAGAAACCATTGTAATAGACTAATACACTAGTACATTATTCTTCCCTGAAAGCACTGTAATAAATTAACACATTAGTGTATTGTTATCCTTCCCAGAAATCATTGTAATAAACTAATATGTTAGTGCATTTTGATGTTATTTAGCATTGTCGTGGGGTATTGCTAAGTTTTATTAGTGTAGTGTAACTTTTAAAGAAAAAACATCTTACTGCTTTGAAAAATAGGTCATACACTTGAAAATATATTTGGTTTTAGTCATAATGCAGAAAAATGTGATTTTAGATTAATTATCATGTGACAAAGTTCTAAAATTTGAAAAATCAGTGTCATTATACTTAACAACTTTTCTTTCTTGACTACTCACTGCAAACTTTTAAAGGTGTTTCTTTCTGTTTGCCAATCAGTTGAAAATTTGCAGTTGTAAGAAACATTGTCTTTTATTACTTAAAATGTTCAAAGAGATACTGAGGTTAATTTCATTTTATATAATTAAATGTCCCACATTTCATTCCATCCTTAAAAATATTTCACTTATTTTAAGATTTGCACATTCTTATGGTCATTATTACACTCTTTTGTCTGACACCACAAATTTGTACTAATGATGGAAAGATCAATCCTAGACCACACTTTGTGACAAGCTTTCTAAACACCTTCCTGCATGGGACATCTTATTTCAAGATCATTTTTAAGCAGAGCTAATAGAGAGATCTTGGAGATCTTGACAAATATAAGGTTAAATGAGGTTACTGAGATTTCAGTTTCTTTAGTAATTTTTTTCTTATTAAAACAGCTGTTGATTTCAAGTTGTAGGTGAAACTCATAAATTTTTGGTTGAGAAGCATCATAAAATCCTTGTTTATTATCTTATTAACAGTTCCAGAAAATATGCTCTGGATTAGCCATTGCTGTCCTAAAAACTGCTATGCAAGTTATTCTGCTTCAGTGAGGAACATTGAAAGTTTCCTTCTTTAAAGTGTTCTACTTTGGGTCAGTATTGTGTAGCACTCTCACTGTATGAATCATTCTTTTCAGAAAGCTTTCTTATGACTATCTCTGGCAGCAATGCACTGTTTAATGTGCAGGAATTTACCATAAATCATATATATATTGGCCATTATCACTTAAGTTGTTCAAATTGCATTTCTACAATACTTAAATAAGATGTTGAGTATGTATATATTGTACTATATAAAATGTTACATAGTGCTAGATTTTTAATAAGAAGACCGCCACTGTTGAATAATGCTTTACAGTACTAATAATGAATAGTAAACATCTTTAATGAATGTTTCGGAATTACACACCTAACCCTAACTCTTCTTCTATATATTCTCACAATGAAATGTCATCCCACCCAATTTTCAATTCTAACTTCTGCATATAATGGTCATGAGTTATTGATAAAAGAAAGTCTACACATTATGAACTCTCATCCAAGCCTCAATAGAAATTCAAACTCATTCCCCCTTGCATTGTTCAAATGGTTCTTTCTTTTTTTTTTGAATTGAATGTTTTATAATATTTCTATTCATTGTATTTTTATATTTAGTAATTGTTCTAAAGATTGTTTAGTTTGTCTTTTTGATAGATTTGCTGAAGATGGAATATGTGTAATTCCAAAATGTTTACAATTGTTGTCATTGCTCTTCTATTCATTATTATACTTCGTTTTTCACCAAATGTATCAATTGCTTTTACAGTACTAGATTTAGAGCATGTAAAATTACCACTACTAGATAATGCACACCCAAGCCATAAAATATAGTTATTAAGGATGTTCTGTGTGCATTTGTTTGTGTTACAGTAGGAGTGTTTGATGACAATAATGACACTTTGATCACTGTGGTGAAAGCTTTTACAATAACAGAAAGTGAAGGGAGATACACTCCAGGAGGTAGGTTTATTTAATGTCACCTTTCATATGAATTTCATTTTCTTTCATTGATTTAGAAACAGGTAAGTATTTTATGTTGTAACCAACAATCAATTATTACAAACAATATGCATATTTTCAAACAAGAAGATGAAAGTGACTTGTCACTTCAGTATTTTCAAATCGGATAAGTTTTGTGGAACTATAAAAACCTTAGAATTAAGGTTTCATTGTAACATTGTAGTTTGATAGTAGGTTTAAGCTGTCATGTGTAGTAAATAGCATACTTTTGTTGATAATAGGTCATTTGGTAATAAAAATCAAGCTGTCATGTGTAGTAAATAGCATACTTTTGTTGATAATAGGTCATTTGGTATTAAAATTCAAGCTGTCATGTGTAGTAAATAGCATACTTTTGTTGATAATAGGTCATTTGGTAATAAAAATCAAGCTGTCATGTGTAGTAAATAGCATACTTTTGTTGATAATATATCATTTGGTATTAAAATTCAAGCTGTCATGTGTAGTAAATAGCATACTTTTGTCGATAATTGGTCATTTGGTAATAAAAATCAAGCTGTCATGTGTAGTAAATAGCATACTTTTGTTGATAATAGGTCATTTGGTAATAAAAATCAAGCTGTCATGTGAAGTAAATAGCACACTTTTGTTGATAATAGGTCATTTGGTAATAAGAATCAAGCTGTCATGTGTAGTAACAAGCATACTTTTGTTGATAATAGGTCATTTGGTATTAAAAATCAAGCTGTCATGTGTAGTAACAAGCATACTTTTATTGATAATTGGTCATTTGGTATTAAAAATCAAGCTGTCATGTCTAGTAAGTAGCCTACTTTTGTTGATAATAGGTTGTTTGGTAGTTAGATACATGCTACTATAGTTTGATATAGAAATCGCAGTTAAACTGTATATGTGTATAATTACAAAATAATTTTGTGTTTTCAGTTGTAGGTATGAACATCAGTGCCAATCTATTACAGAGTAAACTTGAAACATTTTTTTCATCAGAAGAGACAGACTCAATTTGTTATAACAAAACGGTAAATATTGTTGTATTTCAAAATTTGTAGTGCATACTGGTGGGATTTACACATTTTGATAAGTTCAGAAAAAATTACCTTTACACTCCAGATAAATATAAAATACTATATTTTTATTTCCACCCAAGTTTTGCTTTTGTGCCTTCATCAGTGTTACTATACACAACTGTTTGATAGTAGAATATTCATTAAATTATAAAACTGCTTGTAATGTTCTATTTCTATCGTACAAAAAAACAAAGATTTTAAAGAGAGAAAATATATGGAAGCTTTACTCATTAACGAAAAAAATCCAAACATTAACAGAGGCAATTGGTGGTACATGTAATTAAACCACCATTCAAAAACAACACATTGTACCAATACAATTAACATTATTACTTTTAGTTTAACACTTGTGTACTCTGGAGTATCACACAGTCATACAATTTGTTTTTAACACTGCTAGTAAGCTTTGTATCCTTTCCACTTATTATCGTTTCTTGGTAGCTTCTACAATGAGCTAAGCAGCAGATGATACTAAACCTTTATTTCATTACACTCTGTCACATATTAGATCGCTAAGGAACACTCATGGTATTGTAGACAAAACAATATCAGATTACTAAGGAGCACACACCAGTGGTGTTGTATAACTAACCATGTCAGGTTATTAAGTAGAATATTAATGGGATTGTAGTCCTAACCATATCATATTACTAAGGTAATCACACCAATGGTTTTATAGACTTGACTTTTTCAGACTACTAAGGAGCTCACACCAATGGTGTTGTAGACCTAACCATGTCAGGTTACTATGGAGCTCAAACCAATGGTGTTGTAGACCTAACCATGTCAGGTCACTATGGAGCTCACACTAATGGTGTTGTAGACCTAACCATATCAGATTACTAAGGTAATCACACCAATGGTTTTATAGACTTGACTATTTCAGGCTACTAAGGAGCTCACACCAATGGTGTTGTAGACCTAACCATGTCAGGTTACTATGGAGCTCACACCAATGGTGTTGTAGACCTAACCATGTCAGGTTACTGTGGAGCTCACACTAATCGTGTTGTAGACGTAACCATATCAGATTACTAAGAAACACACAATAATTGGTTTGTGGATGCCCAGAAGACATCTCTTGGCATATCTATCTTTAAGTACAGTGCACTTTCTTCTTCATTCCATGAGCTTCATTATACCAGTTCAGTAAAATCCATGGATGCTGTTACAAACCCAGTAAGTACAGTACTGCCTCATTATAACACTGTGGTGCCTTGGTTCTCAAAAATTTAGTATCATCTGCTGCTTAGCTCATTGCCGTGTGGCTTCAGAGGCTAAAGTCACACACCGGTAGATATGTGGGCCTAACCATGTCAAATTACTGAAGAACACACACCGGTAGAGATGTGGGCCTAACCATGTCAAATTACTGAAGAACACACACCAGTAGAGATGTGGGCCTAACCATGTCAAATTACTGAAGAACACACACACCGGTAGAGATGTGGGCCTAACCATGTCAAATTACTGAAGAACACACACCTAATGTCATAATTAAGTAAGTTAGAGATTTAGTACTGATTGTTTGAAATCAAGATTTAACCTGGCTTAACTTGTTTTAACATTGAAAAGTGATCCTCATATCCTTCCTAACTTATTGATCACGTTACTTTATAGAAATGCATTATTCCACAACGATTAAGATATTACTACACTCCAGTGGATCAAACTACCTTCAGGTGAGTAAAACCTAATTTTTCACAAATATTCCATTTGATCAAAAAATGTTTTATGTGATACTCAAAGCTGTAGCACTTCCTAAGAAATATGTGCATTGCAATATTGGTTAACAAGATATGTGAAAAATATTACTACTTAAATGCTGAGCAAACCTCATTACATTGTTTGTGTCTTTTTTTTGTTATCACCTTGCACAGCTGTAAAAGTGGTGTTTGTTTCTAGAAGGTGTTTAGAGAGGTGGTATACACCTTACAGCAACACCTGTTGTCTGGAAGGTTGTATTTTAATCCAGTTATCAGTGTTTAGAGAGATACTATACACCTTACAGCAACACCTGTTTCAAGAAGGTTATTTAATCCAGTTACAAGTGTTTAGAGAGGTGCTAATACACCTTACAGCAACACCTGTTTCAAGAAGGTTGTGTATTTAATCCAGTTACAAGTGTTTAGAGAGGTGCTAATACACCTTACAGCAACACCTGTTGTCTAGAAGGTTGTGTTTTTAATCCAGTTCTCAGTATTTATAAAGGTGTTATACATCTCACTGCCTGTTAAGTAACTACATGGCTCTACAGAAATGAAAACAGTAGATAAGATTGGGTTGAAAATTTCTGTTGCAAGATTAATTAAGTTTAAGTGAACCTAAATGGCCTACATTTCAATACCAGCAACAGCCAAGTTCTGAAACTAACAAAAGTTCAGCCACCTATTTATAATTTTCCATGGCTAATGATTTTGATGGTAGCTTAAGTTTTGATATTATTTTTTAATATATCATTGGGTGTACTTTTGTTTTTAATAATGTGATTTGTAAAAGATTGTTTCAAGTTCATGTTTACTTTTTTGTTAAATAGTATTGCTATAGTGCTTCCTGAAAACAGAAACTTCTACTTAGAAGCAAAAGGAATGAATTTGACAAAAGGAGGTAATTTAAATTTATACTGAAGTTTATCTGTGTCTCCTCATGATTTTTAAACCAGTTTTTGAATGTATGAGTGGTGTGAGAAAGAAACAGTATTTTATTTCCTGTTTGTTAACCATATCATTTACTAAAATTACTAACAAACACACACACACACACCTAACCATTTCAGTTTAATAAGAAACACACACCGGTAGAGATGTAGGCCTAACCATGTCAAATTACTGAAGAACCATCCTTTAATGTGATGCCATATAGATTATCAGAAGAGATTGGAGTTGATCTTATATTAATCTAAGACATTGTCCACTTAAATAATACTTCAGTATTACTTTTTCACCTTTTGGTTAACTTCTCTTTATAATGGAAGGAAATGCTACATTGGATGTTTATATCAAGATGTTGGACAAAGTGAGTGTTTATTAAATAAAAACATTTTTACTAGCAGATATAAATTAGATATAAGTTAAAAGTGAATACTTAGAAATCATATGCTTTCTAAAGTGATTTTTTTTTCGTTTTTCTTGCACTGTTAATTTTAGAATTTTACACTAATGTACCTTAGGCATATATTTAATTTTCTTGTAACTTCTGTTTTTGACTTACGGTCAATCATGTTATTACGAACCTGTGGAATCAGAGCAGCTTTAAGTCAATCATGTTATTACCAACCTGTGGAATCATAGAAGCTTTAAGTCAGTAATGTTATTACAAACCTGTGGAATCATAGCAGTTTTAAGTCAATCATGTTACTAA